TAACTTTTGTTACAGATGAGGATTTATCATCTCCTTTTGATTCAGAAGACAGGTCAAAGCTAAGAACCTAAAAGTTTGTTGACTAAGTAGGAGAGAAGATTACTATTTGTTCAGAAATATTATTACAAAAGCCTCACATAGTTCAGAACAGAACTTTCTGACTTCTTTCAGAAAAAGATAAATGTCAAGGAGGAGGGAAAATAGGGCTGTATCAATTTTTATATCAATAAATTTGATTTTGTTGTCTTTTGTTTCCTCCATCTATAGAGACATAGAAAGTATTGATTTGATTTATATACATGATATACTCCTTTTGTCCCATAATAAAATAAGTCTGAACTTCTAAGGAGTGGCTAACAAGTTATTAAAAAGACAAATTTATCATCAACCATTCCAAGCTTCCCTATGGTGAACTGTAAACCCATTTTAAAATTAGGGGAATTTATTACATTGTGCACTATTTACTTTTTTTGGTCAAATCTATGTCAATCCAAGAAGATACACCCAGCTTTATGTTGCTGAGATACACATGAAAATAGTTTTGTCACTGAGCTAATTGCAAAATTTATCATAGTCATCATGGGAACGCATTCAGTTATAAAGGAGATGAACATGTTTGTTTGGTGTTTAAAACCCAGTATTTATGTATTTTCATACAATTTAATTATAAAATTTACGTTTATCCATCCTGTATTTTTTGTGTTAGTAGGGCAATGATCTTTGGCTGAAAAAGAGTAAAACATTTAATCGTATTAGAAAATGCAGTATTCACCTGCATGTGCTACTTCCAACTTGAGAAGATGCATTTTTAGTGAAGAGCCAGTAGTTTTAAAGTATAATTTTAAAAACAAGTTAGGTATGTTGGAAACTCTTTTTTTCTCATAATCACTTCTGTATTGTTGAAGAGTGGCATCTTGGAGCTGATTATTCCTTGTACTTGCAAGGGTTAGGGTTAGCGCCCCAATATATAAATGCCATCTTGCCCAGCCTCTTCTTTTGTTGTTGTTGTTCAGTTGTTAAGT